ATGTTGTCGAGTCAAAATGATCTTAGCTGAAATGAGGGTGACGTAAGAGTCTTGATTTTAAATAACTTAGGAGTCTGTTCCGTCATAATGAATATAAAGCATACCAATGAACGAGAAAAATATCGGAAAATATGTAGACATTATCACAATGTAGAAAAATGAAAATAAAAAATTGATATACAATGTTCCAACAAGGAAAATACTCACAATTTTCGAATTGGTGTACCATATCACTTTGGTCTCACCACTAAAGATGCCACAAATATTCGTAGCCTGACGACTCCTACACACGCAACACCTTTCATAATCGGAATTTTTCAACCGAATATGTCAATTCAGAAGTCAGGAATAAAGGAGTTCGAAAATATATTTGAAGGGCTATCGGTATGCCGAAGGGACGTTTGGTCTGAGCTGGCTAGCAGATGTAGTAGACGCGTAGCTCGGCGTACCCACACGTAATCTGGTGCAAAAGCGTGACTGAGCAACTTCAATTAGGAGGGTCCGTTAAAACCAATGTGGTCAAATGTCGAAGACTTGCAGAGTTATTTATTTTAAGTATTTATTTACCACTACAACCCTTATTAAATCTTATACGAATAAATATTGTATTCATTTTGTTCCCATTATTCGACAACTAGTGACTTGATTAAAAACTTAGACGGCATTATTATTGAATGTACATCAAGGCAATGTAATTAACTGACATAGCGATAATATATGGGCTTAAAAGCCATAGGATAGAACTGAAAGGAAACAAAGTAGTAGTGGATTAATTTCAGAGTCTAATCCCACCGTAGTTGGACGCATTAATGGTGGCACGCACTAGAATCCTTAAGAATCGTACTAAAACAGAAACGGTACTGGAACTGGGAGCCCAGCAACTTCACAGGAGTCATAATACTCTAGGGTTCTTCCATGATAAAAGAACTCCAGAAATATATTGGAAAGGTCCAATGTGAATTTTGCCTAAATGCGTTCAAACGGTTCAGAGTGTCAAGTGCTCGATCAGTATTAAGGTGGAATAAGGTTATCAGACGAGCAGATAGATAAATCATGGTATACTAGGAAAGGATACAAATAATTCCACAGACTAACAAATATCTTTCACGTACCCAGTCCGATTTCGATTTGTGCTCTAATTGTAAGAATATAAAAGGCCACTAACTGTGCCCCGTTACAGTAGTAAAGATCGCCCGCGTGAATGATGAGTCTGGTCTGATTGTGTTGGAAGGGTGACCTACTAGCCTGAGTCTAAGTCACACCTTGTGGTAATACCTTACCTGGATTACATTGAGGATGCCACAGGTATCGCAGTTTGACAACATTTTAACCACCAACACAGATGAATCGTGCACACCCAGTGAAATCAAAAGTCAAAAGAAAGGAGGCTGGAGGATATATTCGATAGATTATCGACATACCGAGAAGTGACTGATCCATACTGGTTAGTGATCGCAGGAGAATTTGAGCACGTTGTTTCAACTCGTGATCTGGTGCGGATGCATGACCAAGCGCTTTCAAATAATTGAGTTCATTAAAACTAATGTGGTCAGTATCCAAAGCCCAACACTTAAAGAGCTATTGATTTTGGGGAATTATTTACAGCTACAGATCACTCCCACCTAGTGAGTTAGTGATGACCCTACGATGTGGCCAGCCAGAAGTTGAAACCCAACGAGTTGGTCGTTGGTAAACACTCTTCTGATAGCTTGTTATGTTTGCAGCGTTTGTTGACTTTTCTTACTATAAGGGGCAATGAAGTACAACATAATAATAAGGAAAAGAACGTACAGTAAGAACTTCGGTTCCTCGTTAACTTCATCGCTCCTTTTGCCGTCTTTTCCAGCCGTCCTGGAAAAGAAAGAATAGATTGTGTAAGTGCATGTCGAAATACACTTGTACGCGCCTAAAGACTCAATGCTGACGAAAATAAGTAAATAAACTCATACACATGCTATAGCGTCACAGAGATTTAAACAGAACTTTTTTCGGTTTTTTTAAAAAAAGAAATATACGCATATCAGGAAAAAAGTTTTTTGGAATAAATATATAAGTACAAGCATATAAAATTTTATTAAACATAATACAAAAGAAAATCGCGATAAAGCAAAACGTTAGCTAGTGTCGTACGTGCAACGGTCGTTTCAATGTTCTGGAAATCTTACTCTTCTTCCAGTACACGTTGTCTAGGTTAATTTTTAGATACTGACGAAGTATGAACATGGGTGTTGGCTATCGGATGAGGTATTATAAGTGTAGGAGCCATGCCGTTCGATTGTACCGAAGGTAAATGGACGTGGATGGGATTTCCTTCTAAATACACTGCTTTGATTCGATCGATAATGATGCTATCGTTAGTGCCATTCCTATAGACTATATAGTACTTGGGTTCGCGCTAAAAAAATTTGAAGGGTCTTTCGTATTCTGATTCGAGAGATCGTCGATGTGAGTCTCGACATACGAAGACATGTCTACTATATCGTCAGTCAGGTTCAACGAAAACATCAGTTGACTGAGGTCGAGTGGAAACAGGTTTAACTGAACGTATTGCGATTGTAAGCCCGCTCGTGTAAGAGTTTAGATCCACGGTCATTGAAGGAAACGAAGGATCCACGAAGTCTCCTGGAGGTCGAAGTGTCGTTCCATGACGAGTTGAGATGCAGTGTATAGGATATCAGTTTCCACTGCAATGCGGATGCCTAAGAAGACGAGTGGAAGAGCACCGGTTCACTGTGAAACGTTTGAAGCTGATAGAGAAGCTTTTAGTTGTCAATATATAAGTTCTACCAACCCGTTCGCTTGTGAGTGGTAGGCGGTCGTTCGGAAGCATGTGATTACTAATAGTGTGGTCAGACAACGGAAAAGTTTAGATTCAAACTGGCGTCCGCGGTCTGTAGTGATGGTTGAAGAGCAGTCAAAATTTGCTACCCATCGTTCGACGAAGGCGCGGGCCACCGTCCCAGCAGTGATGTCCTTAATAGGTGCTGCTTCTTGTCATCGAATGAAACGGTGTAGTCAGGTTAACAGCATCCATTTGAATCTGGTAAAGGTCCTACCGAATCCAGATGAACATGGTCGAAACGAGCACAGGGAGTTTCGAATGAGCCTAAGGGACATTTGTTGTGTCTAATGACCTTAGATTTTTGGTAGCTTACACAGGAGCGTGCTCAACCCCTCATGTTTTAATCCATACCAGGCCAGCAAAACCGTTGTGCTATAAGCTTGATGGATGCAGCTACATTTGGATAGGAAAGTTTGTGCAAAGTACTGAAGACGCTGCGTCAATAATGTTTCGGCACGATTGGGCGATCCCTTCCTGTATATGTGTCACATAGTAAGGTTTTTTTGCCAGTTCCCATCAGTTTAATGCGCAGTTTAAGGGTTGTTAATGATAACCTGTGCTGAAGTTCAGTGTCTTCTTTTTGAAGCTGAGCGAGTTTAAGAAGGTCAATTCCTTGGAAACTGTTCAAGGAACTTATACGAGACAAGGCGTTTGCAGCTACATTGTATACTCCAGAAATGTGTTGTATATCTGAAGCGAACTGCGAGATGTAGTCCAGTTGTCGAGACTCACGAGGTGAGTACTTGTCTGAGGATGAGCCTAAAGAGAAGGTTAGAGGTTTATGATCGGTAAAATGCGTGAATTCTCTGCCCTCGATAGTGTTGAAAATGCCCTACAACACAATACATAACCAGGAGTTCCCTACCGAACGTGCTGTACCTCGATTCAGTGTCCACAAACGTCTCGAGGGAAATCCGAAAGTTTTTCAAGAGTGGCTAACCTATTTTTGTAAGACTCTTCCGATTGTTGAGTTGGATGCGTCTACTGCGATACTTATGGGCGCTTGAGTGCCCTGGTATGCTAGCAGGATTGCCTTTGCGATGAATTCCTTAATTGTGGAGAATGCTTTTCGCTCGGTGTCGTCTAGATTAATTGATTTGGCATTTCCACGGAGTTGGTCGGTTATCAGTTTCATGATGGATGCGCATTTCGGTGTGAACCGTCCACAGAAACTTACGAGTCCGTTAAATGTACGCAATTGCTTAATGGTAGTGGGTCCTGGGTAATCCAGAATGGCATTCGCAAAAAGTCGTAGAGTCCGAAATGAGTTATGAAAGCGATTTTTGGAATATCGTCATCAGCCATAGGCATTTCGTTATAGGCTTCAACCAAGTCGATTTTCGAAATGTCAGTTGTACCTTTCAAGGTAGCTGTCAAATAGTGAATGTGAGGCAACGTGTGACGATTGGGAATGTTTTTTGCATTCAAACGCCGACAGTTACTAGTTGGACGCCAATCGTTGCTGTACTTGTTAGGGACCATGTGCAAAGGAGATGTTGCGCATGCCGTTCCGAAACGTGATCTGGTACGGATGCATGACCGAGCGCCTTCAGCTTAATTAGTCTGTTAAAACTAAAGTTATCAGCATCCAGTGTCGAACACTTACAGAGCTATTGATTTTGGGGATTTAATTACAGCTATGGTAATATTTCAGTGGCTCCACAGCGGTAAGTATTAATGGATAGACCGATAGAGATGGTTAATCACTTTGTGACTTCCAAGTTAACTTTAAAGCATTGCTAAAATGACGTTATATATACGTTATATATATATATATATATATATATATATATATATATATATGACGTTATATATGACGTTCAAGGAATTCAGTACTCTGATGTATTAGTTGCGTTGTAAGCTGTCTATTCCATCTTAAGGAACTAAATAACCACAATTACTTTTGACTTATGTCCGCTGCGTCTACTCTAGTCGTAAACAACCACCCTCAGAGTTTAAAGAGTAGCATTAAAAGAGATCTTAACAGACATAATCATCAGCTAGTAAGTACACCGAGTAATTCTTTCATCTGAATGTTACTCTTAAAACTACTTTAGGGGTCTCACACCTCCAAAATAAGTCGTGTTTTGTGAAATCGAGTTTCTTACTATGTCATTGTTCATAAGAGCTTATTTAACTCATGGAAAAATATACTTAAAGTAGTCAAAAGACGAGCGATGTATTATCGCTCGAAGACAACTTGAACTACATAACGTCATAAAAAATAGGAAAATATTTACCAGTTTATCAGGACTTAAGGCGAATGTGTTGTTTCGTGAATTTGTTTCTATATTCATAAAGAGTACAACGGAAATATTGACGGTTGAAAGGGGGCAATCTTGTGTTTGTTGTCAACTATCAGCGTGGGACGGTATAATCTGAGCGAATCATGGTTGGTTGTCATGTTTTTCTTTGTTTAATGCTTAAGTTTTGGTGGACATTCGTGACTTTCCCGTTAATGTTTTAAAGGAGGTAGATCTATTTTGGTTTCGTAATGAACTTTCCCAAAAGACCAGGTTGCTATATTATTGAACTAGAACTAGGGAAACTGGACCAACTGCATGTTGTTGGGTTAGATTCTTCATTTTAAAGACGAAAGGGCAGACACAGTGGAAGAAAAATTTTCTGTAATTTTAAAATAGATTTTCTTATTTTTACCATGACACGCTCGTGTCTGTCAGTTACCAGTTTGTTTCTTTCAGTTCATTTAATTAAGCGTTTCATGTGCATGTTCCCGTCTAGAAGATCCAGGATTCATGCGAAATCATCAGTAGTACCTGCATAAGACCGTCTGAAAACTTGAAGATGTGCTCAAGAACAGACTATTCTGGGTTCCCCCTTATCCTACACCTTGGGAGGACATTCAAAGGAAAATCCTTGGTTTGTAAGTATCGAACGGGAAGGTTTTCACAACACGCGTTTGTCAGTTTAAAAATGTTTCCGATAAGTAGCACTGTCAACTGATGTCTTCAAGGAGATGCTGTACAACTGTTGGTCAGTAGTTCTGAGAAGCTTGAGATTAACTTCAGGAATGATTATCTCATAAATCTCCATCATTTCCAGTTATAGTAGTCTACCATTGAGTACTTAGTTAAAAAGTCAAAATAATATGCCAGGTCAAAGATCATTTGTTTCAGTCAGCTACAACGTAGGACCAACATCAAATTTATAAAAGCAGTTACTTCGGTGATAATTTCGGGGTTTAAGACTCATGGACTTTTGAGGCATTGTTTGTATTCTTGTAATTTTCACACCATTGGCTTTTAAACTCACTGAGGCAAACATCTAGACAATAGTGGGGCGCGGTCTCCTTACATGTTTGTGATCAAACTTGTTAAGTGATGAAATCGGCCTAAAAATCTAACACTTGTGGGATTTGTTCTTTTTTGAGTGACTAACTACATAGGAACTAATTTCAAGGTTATACAAAACAACAAACTACTTTAAATTATGTCGAGATGAATTTCAAAATATACCTGCACTAGCAAAAGTGGTAAGGAGTGGTCGGACGTCTTGAAGCTGATACTGTATGATTAATTTCATAGCTGTAACGTGAGCTAATATTTCTATACATACTTTGAAAAGTCGCTATGAATATTTCTTGCAGCAAGCGAATTCTCCAAGCATTCGCCGGAAAGTAAAGCTTCAACAGGTTGTATATTACCATTTTCTGGAAATGCTTCTCTACCGTTGCTGCTACCTTGACGTGGTGGTCGGGCTTGCCTATCGTGATGGAGCAATCGAGCTATGCTGGCTGGAACAATCGTTCCTCGAGGTCCTACCATGCCAGACAGGTCGGTTGAAGAGCGGTAAGACTAAAAGCAGCAATCCCAAGGTCCAAAGGCGAAGTCGTACTGCTGACTGTACAGAGGTGTGACGGCAGTAAGGTGTTTCCTAGAGACAACCAGCATGACAGCGATACTGCCTTCCCACAAGGTGGAGTGGGGTTAGAAAAGGTCGACCCTAAAAATGCACACCTCGCCTTATCCCACGGATTCCCGTCTGCGGCGGTAAGGTCCTTTGAAGAACGGAGCTAACATTTCAAAAATCCCCCACAAAAAGGCCGTGCGTGACCGGCCTCAAGCAGTTGTCCCTTGGACACTGCGGTCACGCTCCCAGGTCGTTAAGACCAACACTAATCCAACTTCTCTTTCAGGTCCCTCAAGAAATACCCTTCCACGGTGTGGGCAGCCGGGAAGTGATATTAGCCCTCATACCCGTAACAGCACACGAGATCAAGTTGGTCACTTTCAAATCCTTCCTTCTCTCTGCTTAACATTTTTGTGTGTTATCCGAGTGCTGTTCTTCTACGTGTTGGAAGTTAGGTATTCCAAGTTGTAGTTCACCCTATAGAAGTTCATTTTCACTCCAGGCAAGACTTAATAAAAAAGGCTTTGTAAATATCGCTCCTTGAGTTGAATAAAAAGCATTTTTAGTCCGATCCTACGCTGAATTTGACTTGCATATTGAATTCTAACGTCTTCTAAGTCTCATTGGTGACTCATTTAAGTATATCACAATGTCTTAACTAACAGATTATTATTGTCTGTCTTAAGTTTGTCGCTTATTCTCTTCATTTTAATTAGCTCTCACTTCAACCAATTTCAATTCTAAGTGCTGGTGCCGATGAAGAAAAGGCAGAAACCGCTCGACTTGTAAGTTACACTTCAGTATCTTTATTTTAGTCTTCCTTCATTGGAGCTATTGCTATCGGTGATCTTGTTAAGACTACTTTGGGTCCTAAAGGAATGGACAAAATCCTCCTCTCACCCGGCGATACTGTAGAAGTGACAAATGATGGTGCTACTATTTTGAAGTCAATCGGTGTAGATAATCCTGCAGCTAAAATCCTTGTTGGTATGTTTAATCCTAATTCTGTTTATTACTTATTTCAATTTAGAAATGAGTAAAGTTCAAGATGATGAGGTTGGTGATGGTACAACTTCAGTAACTGTTCTAGCTGCAGAATTATTGCGTGTAAGTTGTCCAAACTGTTACTAATAATCACTAGTAAATGCTGATGACTGTAGTCCTATGGGTATATTCAAAATCATTTGGTAGCTCTCGGTGTAAATTAGTTGGACAACTGCTTTTTAATTTTTCTTGCTGTGTGATCTAACTTTTCAATCAAATTATACCTTGGTTATATGTCCCCTAATACCTAGTAATAACCTGTTGATGACTTTATGTGCTGAGGTTGTCTAAGTCAGTCAGCTACAACCTAAGATCAGGCACCTATATGCATCAGTCCAAGTTGCCATGCCTCATTAGCACAACAAGATGAACACCAAATTCATAGAAGTAGTTACTTCAATATTAGTAATATATAAAAGATTGTATAACGATATAGTACAGGAAAAAAGAATTAGTTCGTATAAGGTAAGATATTAAATAATTCTAATCTCACGCTTTAAGGGAATAAAGAGTGTATACACCCACGCCATTGTGATCGACCAGACCAATGATACACGAAAACCGTACGAGCAGTCTAGAGTCCGTATTGGTCCTGCTTTCTGCCTAACTCAGCCAGTTAAGTCCAGAACAGCCTCTGCGGTATGAATCATTATATTTCAAACATAATGAGTTTATATACCAAACAGACACATCGCGTCGTACCAATAAAATAGAAAATAACATTTGTACAAGATTCAGCCAAATGTGTCTGTGAATGTGGGAGGCAGTAATTAATAGACTAGGGATACCTCGAGAATTGTAAATCGTATAATAATAATCTGCAGGTCAAAATAATAAGAGAGACATGAATAGTTTAGGTATTTAGCGATTATGCGATAAAAAAATGTATGCATAGTATTGGTTTATAAATAGATCCCAAAATTGCCATTCATTGTCTTTGTGAGAGCATAACAGTTACACAGATCAATTTCGGGTCTTGTCATAGAAAGTATCTTATTATCGGTAAGGGATATTATTACCTCTAATAAGTAGTTCATATCTCACGGCCTAGCCTTAGTCTACAGTTACTGAGATCAGGTCTTATTTCGGCTCTCTCAGCTTTCTTCCAGCTTACCACGATACCAGCCAACATTGTACGTCCGAGTAGGTGGCATCTGGGTGTACGTAACATCTGTCTAAGTTTATAAAAAGTCACGATCTAAACCTATTTCTCATGCACTCTTAACCTTACCGTTAAACACTTTAGATATCACTGTTCACTGAGTATTATCTGTCAACAACTTTCATACTTGAGATCGTTTGCACTAAACCCATTGATTCATTAAATAATCCGGTGATTGAGAGAATAATTATGTGTGATTCAGTCGGTTAATTATTATAGACTCATAACGTAGCACAAATATGAGTAGGCGCAGGTTGCCGTACCAAATTAACATGATAGAATGAAATCAACAACATTTATAGCAGATAAGTCGAAATAACATATTCCGAGCCATAATAAAAAAGATTGAATATCACAAAAGTATGTATAAATTAGTATAACTTCAAAATCATTATGGAGACTAAAAGCATACATCTCAAGAGTGAACAATTCTAAGTCTTTCATCCAATTTCTCCAAGTACTAACTGTAGTTATTATTTGGATTCCAACCAGGTGGCTTGCATACACTAAAACGACCAACTGTCATCGGCCTCACGGGCTGATGCCACGTTTCGGTCTGGCCGCCCCGAGCTTACAGCATACACCTACATCAGCTGACATTGCACATCAAAATGGTCAGCGGTTTGGCATATGTAACACATTCTATTAAACCCAGTTGGTGAAGATTCACAGCCTCACCAACTGGTTTGTCATTTTTGGCAAACCTTCGGCGTCCCGAACAATACTTCAGAAACAACTGTCATAAATGATCTGTATCCCACACGTGTCTACTTTCGCAGCCCTAAAGTAATCCAAGACGCACTGCTGTATAATTACTCGACTTTTAGTTGTCAGGCGGACATCTCACCTACTCGACAAGTAATGCAAGTTGGCTTTACCTAACTGTGCTTTCTCAATTTGTGCCGAAATTTTGTCAGATACCAGCCCATCAGGGCTGTTAAGACTTCTAACGCAAGTGAAATGGTTGACTATTTGTTGGTGCTTCACAAATGCCTTTGAGATCATATAGTTGAGTTATTAGTAAAATCAGATGTGTTTAAAGTTTAGTCATTATTAAAGTCTTATTTTGTCTTCTGAGTTAGTGAAGAGATATGTGAAGGGTTTTTCCTTTCATATAATCTATAGACCACAGATATTATCCTCATGATATATACCTTCTGGAGTTCATCTTCAGTTTACAACTTAGTTTGTAATAGGGTCTGTGTATCATTTATAGTAGCTGATAGTGAACTTTATAGCCTCCCTTTTACACTACTTGGGACATAACTGCTGAATATGTATATGCCTCGTTAAGCTATCCCCCTTTAGGCTTGAGCCTAGCAATACCCATTATTTTAAACAACAACCTTGCCGAGTTTTAATATCTATTACTTAGTTAAAAAGGGAAATTGTTTGCAAACTCCAGTTTGACGTTTTCGAAATAAGATGGGCATTAAAACATTAACGAAGAAAATGACTGTAAGACGATAAGTTTTAGACTGGAGAAGTTGGAGACACCAGTACATTTCAATATACAGATCATAACTCGTGTAGTAACACTAAATACTTTAGTATCAGTTTATATATGGGGTCTTAATAAGTATCATTCCTAACAGGTTAGTGATTTCATAAATTTAACTGCTAATTTCGTTGCTTTATTTTCATTGTTGTTACTTAGGAAGGTGAACAGTTGATCGCTGCTAAGCTTCATCCTCAAACTATTGTACAAGGTTGGCGTGAGGCTACCAAACTGGCCTTGGTGGCTCTTGATTCCGCTGCACACCAGTCATTAGACCAGTCAGATGCTGAGTTTCGTGAGCGTCTGTTAAGTATTGCACGTACAACTTTAAGTTCCAAGCTTCTGACACAACATAAAGAACACTTTGCAAATTTAGCTGTAAATGCTGTTCTTCGTCTCAAGGGTAGTGGAAATCTTGATGCTATTCAAGTAAGTAGCTAAAGTTTCTATCATGTTTAACAGATACTGCTCACTCATGAGACTCACCAGACTATTCGATTTACAGATTATTCAGAAGCTGGGTGGAACCATGACTGATTCTTATTTGGATGAAGGCTTTCTTCTGGATAAACGACCTGGTGTTAATCAACCTAAACGAGTGGAAAATGCCAAAATACTGATCGCCAACACTCCTATGGATGCAGATAAAATTAAAGTATTTGGAAGCAAGATCCAAGTAGATGCTATTTCGAAGGTGGCTGAATTAGAACTAGCTGAAAAGCAAAAAATGAAAGACAAAGTGGACAAAATTTTAAAGCACAACTGTTCAGTATTTATTAATAGGTAAATTAAAATTTCCACCTCTTTAGGTGTTTTCATGTACCAGGATGTTGTTTTCACCACAAGCTTACATTAAATAAGAAAGTAGTAGATGTTAAAGGTATTACTTATTTGCTTCACCCACGGGTTCAAACTCCTTCAGGTCGAGCACACATTGCTATGGACTCCTTTGCTTATGACATCTAGACTGATGTAGGTTGATACTAAATCTTCCAGTTAACCAAACTAGATATCTGTAACCAAGATAATTCCTATATTGTTTCAACTGGACATTCCAAGGTACTAGCTTAATATTGGTAGAGCTATTTTGCTGTATTCGCTATCAGATTTTTCTATAGTCATCCATTTCTGTTTTCTAAAGTATCCAACTTGGCTATTATCAACTTCATATATTAAAGCCAATCTGTTTTGTTATTTTTCTAGAATACCTTTTTAATTGCATGACAAAGTGCATTACATATCTTCTTATTATATATATATATATACTGCAAAATATGGACTTATAATCTTATTTTCAGGCAGTTAATATATAACTACCCCGAGCAGTTGTTTGCTGATGCTGGTGTTATGGCTATTGAGCATGCAGATTTCGAAGGTGTGGAGCGATTGGCCTTAGTTACTGGCGGAGAAATCGTCTCCACATTCGACTCTCCTGAGACTACAAAATTAGGACATTGTGATTTGATAGAAGAAGTAAGTAAACTTTTAAACATTCTTGTCTTAGAACGTCCATCACAATCTAAATTAAATAACTTGTTTATCCCATTGAGTATGTTAGTCATCTTAACGTTTCTTCCACTGTAATGTAGCAGTGGATAGATGTAACATCCCTACTTGGTAATAAAACCTTTTTGACTGCTGTAATTTCAAAATTTAAAACTAGCCGCATAATATTTTATAGACCTTTCTCATTTGGTGTTTTTAACTTAATGTATACGATGAAAAAATCCTTGTATTACATCAGCTTTAACTGAACTTCCCAAGATAGATACGATGCTTTGTAATTGTTTATTTAGATGTAGGTACCTTCAAACTTTCTATATATATCTAGTCAGTTGAGATGGTTGGGACATGTTACGTATGCCCAACCACTGACTGCCCCGACGTGCAATGCTTTAGGGTGTGGGACCAGGTTGGAAGAAAGCTATAGGCGGCCAGACCAAAACATGGCACAAATCCATGAAGTCACTGACAAGTGGACTGAGTCATGCTGGTAGGTGTAGACTACCTGGTCGGGATTCGCGAGATGATAACAATCGATGGTTAGAGACCTTGAATGACATGGCTCAAAATCGTTTGCAATGGCGAATGTGCATACACTCTTTGTGTTCTACCAAATTCTAATCTTCTGAATTCTTCATGTCCCTATCATTTTTCTCTTTCAAAATTTATTTCATTGGATTATACTCCTTCAATAACATCTTCAAACCCTAATCTTTCACATAATGCTTATACTCTTACTACTTCTACCACTATGGGATTTGAATCGACAACTTCATTTCTGTGCTAATGTGGTATGGCAACTCGAACTGATGTACGTACGTACGAAGTTCTACGTTGTGACTGACTGACTGACTAATATATTTAGTACACTTCGAAGCCTTAGTTCTGTGTTATTTAAGTGAGTGTGCACTTTTCATGTAAACAAGCCTCTGACATTTCGGTGGAAAACTTTTGTAGGTTACACATTAATTATTGGATTTGGTACACTAAGATGCACTGAAGGATAGATACAAATCAATTAATTTCCAATAATGAAGATCCAAATAACTATGGATTCTACCGGTGGCGTTACTGATGAGATCAATCTGCATGAAGTGAAAGTCAGGTCGACTTGTGTCAATCATAGGCACTTTTTGTTCCATCGTAATATTAGTCTGGCAGCAAAATGTCTGGTCTACAAGTCTACGGTAAGAACAGTTTCGCTGTATGTTTATGAGACCTGATCTTTGAGCCACCGATGTTCAGTGACTCTGTTCAATCAATCTGGAAATAACTTCATAGTTGGACAGATATTCGAGCATGACTCAGTAACTGAAAAATCAGTTTAATCTATTCGTCCATAGCACCACATATTTGTAGTATAGTGAGATTGAACTCGGGATGCTATTTAATAAAATGTTTAAATATATGTGTATTTGTAAAGAACTATAATGACTATCGATCTCCTTAGTCAATTGTATATAATAATTATTTAGCGTCAAACTTTTCTGAAAATATTTTATAACTTCATACGCCTCTATTACTTAATCTCTTTTTAATGTTGACTCTACTTGTTCATCATTCTCTCAGGTGACAATTGGTGAAGACAAGTTACTTCGATTCAGCGGTGTTGCTATGGGTGAGGCTTGCACGATTGTCTTGAGGGGTGCTACAAAAAGTATTCTGGCAGAAGCAGAACGCTCTCTTCATGACGCTTTATGCGTTTTGGCTCTTACAGTAAAAAATCCTCGGACAGTTTGTGGTGGTGGAGCTATGGAGATGTGGATGGCTGAAGCAGTAGCACAGGGCGCTGCTAAAACACCAGGAAAAATATCTTTAGCTATGGAATCCTTTGGTCGAGCCTTGAGACGCTTGCCTTCTATAATAGCCGATAACGGCGGTTATGATAGCGCGGACTTGATCTCTCAGTTACGTGCTTCTCATGCAAATGGCGAAAAATCCATGGGTTTGGGTAAGAACTGTGAATTCCGTCTTACTTTAATGTACGATAAAATGTTTTTATCAATAAATTTATTAAATTAATGCCTTTATTGGTAAGTATTGAGTCAAACTAAGGTTAACTCTATTTACGAGTATTTGTGAAGTTATTTTTCCGTTACCTTCTGTTTGTTTTTAGATATGAACAATGGAGTAATTGCAGATATGAATGAGCTCGGGATTATTGAAGCATATGACGTAAAGCATCATTTGGTGACATCAGCTGCAGAAGCTGCGGAGATGATAATACGTGTAGATGACATCATTAGAGCTGCTCCTCGTCGTCGAGCTCCTCGAAGGCATTAAGTGAAATTAGCTTTACTATCAATTGTTTGTGAAGTAAACACTAAATCCATCAGTTGGGATCATGAAATATAAGTTGTTTGTATATTGAGTTTTATTTCTTTCATTTGGGAATATTACTGTTATTCAACTTTTTTCCGAACGTTTTCTAAGGGTTCGTTTGTTTGATCTGACCAGTGCATTGCAAAAACTAATTTAATAATTTAGTATGTCTTAAGAATCATGAATTTAAGATCATTGTTGTACTATAATAAGTTGGATGTGAATATATCTATGATGAGAATTAATGAGATTCTGAAAATCCATACTTGAAATCTTACGTAAATAAATACTTAGTATTCTGGAGGCAGTCATTAGTTTATATTCTGTGTAACTGCGTGATAGCACTACTTGTATTCAAAGGCTTTAAAAAATAGTGGATTTTAAGACACAGTTCAACATAATTTGAAACATTACATTTGACACACTGAAGTGAAGTTGCTACTCTTCTCCAACAGTCAACCTACTCCATCTGTGTTAATAGTAAGTAAATGGTACTTTACTGTCGGTTTAATTTTGTGTGTACGATCCCAAAAAGGACTTAATGGTAACTAAATTCTAACCACATACCGTCGTAGGTGTAGTGGAAAAAATACATCTAGATACACGAGAAATTATCTCTATCAAGTACTGTGTAGTTTCTATCTTGCAGGTATTGCTATTTATCGCGTAATATAGTGTATACTTTGTGTCGTTCTAGTACATATATTAACAAATCGGTCAAATAAAAATAACCAAAATCTTTAATTCAGAGATAATTTAAACCTATAGTTGTGGATATGTTATTTGACTCAAGTACTTGGTTCTTTGTATATCGCCTAATATCACTTTGTTTAATGACAGTCTGAAAAGTTGGGATGTTGATGCTTTAAATTACGTATAGGTGTCAAGTTAATATATTCAATTAGTTCATCAGATGTAGTATTTAAACCACGTTGTATGTAGGCTAATCGCTCTTATTTGAATGCCTGTGCAGTATTCTAACCCTCATACAAATCGAATGAACAAATTTGGTGCCTCCTTGTACCAATGTGTTTAAATAAATAAAATAATCTCCGTGATTTTATTTACACCGAGAATGTATTTACCCCCCACTGAGTTGTGATTGATGATCTAGTAACTAGCTTTTGATTTTGCTTACAAATATAAGTCAGGAAGATTCCTTTCAAACATAAAGGGCTCATTTATTGAAACGGCGATCTTATTTTCACATTGAGGTATCTGCAGACTGAGGTTTGTTTTATCTGTACTGTCTACACCATTGAGAAATGCTAAGATTTTGTAATAATAATAAACATTATCAGTAAGCTTTGTAACCACCCAATTTTGTGATGTTAGTGTTTACGAAATCGGGATCTTCTTTACGTAGAGGGGAAAATTGTTTTCAAAGGAATCGTAAATACTGGAAAAGTTTAAACTTCTAGAATGTCCAATACTTTCCCAAAACATAACTTTTAGTCTGTCTTCCTTGATGAATGTAAATAAGCATTCAAATTCGGTCAACTAAAGAAATAAAGCGTCTGTTTTTCGAGACATCCACCAAATGTTATGTAAATAGGGAATATTTGAACTCAATCGTTTTGTGGTTATAGAAAAAAGTTTCACTGAGTGTTCTCGTTCCGCATTGGTTAATAGAATAAAAATCTTGACGGCTCATGAATTCATCGATAGACCTTTACGTTGTTGAAAACCATGTTAGGTAGTTCCTTGGTTTGATCAAGTTTGTATTTATGTGTTGGTATTGTTAATAATCATTTGAAACTCATGACTATAGATTATATCCCATTTCTTTATTTTTACTATAGTGAATTCCCTAAATATACTCATTTTGATCAGTGGCTAATATACACTTCACAGTGTTGTGTTGTTGAAAGTTACGCTTAAAAATTAGGAAACACTAAGTTACTTGATCACTTTCGGTGATTCGTAATGTCACGCAGCATGTGATACTAAGATGGCGCTTGGAAATGTCGATGACAAGTAGGAATGGGATGGATTACGTTAGCGTTATGTACTTAAAATACATAGATTAGTAGTTTTCTTGATGGTTAAAGCTTGTGTTCTCAAGAATTTTTTCTTCGGCCTGACAAATGCCTGTAACTGTGATTGATATTCAAGAGACAAAGATACTTTAGGTCAATTGTCATTATGTTAGGCTAGAATATGTCCACAATATAGGTGATGGGAATTGAACGTTGGTTCAGGGTTTTAGATAAGACAATACACTATTCCATACATTTTTAAATTACGAGTGGTTGGTTTGGTAAAAAGTGATTTATGTAACAAGTAGTTGTCATTTTTGCGTTCTGGCAATGAGTTCGAACTAAGATGGAGTTGCAACCTTCTTAGTTTTCACTGGCTCTCAAGTCAATATCAGTCCATAGTGGTCAATTGATTCCAGGTTTTCCATGGTGGTCTAGCTTCAATTGACTCATGCTTTCAATTATGATTCCCTATTTATACTTTCAGTGATAGCAACCTGTAAGTGATAACAGCACTTAAGGGAGTAATACTTGTCTAATGTTCAAGGTCTATTCAGTCTTCTAATCACGACAGATGAAAAGTTTCACAAATTTCCTAGAATCTCCCGTGTCGTAAGGCTGTTCAAATTATACTGGATGACTGAATTCAACCAATGAAGAGTACCATCTTAAAATTCTATCTCCACAAAACCGCATTTAAATTTAGAATAATTTGAAGGGTTTAGATTTAACTCATTTTCTGATAAGACTTATCTAATGGGTCAATCTTATGTAGTCGAAGAAATATTGGGGAATTTCGCGGTTAAATGAAAGGAAAGCGATCATTTGAGTAGGTTTTAATTCAACTGGTTTGCCGTCGACTATGGACTCAAATGTGTGTTATCAATCACGCTACTTACATTTTATGAGTAGTATATCTACTGGCACACATGGTTTACTTCATACCATGACAATATTCATTTAAGTCCTTCCGTAGTAGTATATTATTTCGTAATCAGTGAGTCATTCGATCAGTAAATCTCAAGTTGTGTTATTTAGTATTTCTTCATGTGAGTATTTATACTAACAAGAGTCTTTCCGTAACTGTCACTCGAGAAGTGATAATCCACTATACAATCAAATCATTAGCAACTGATTGCCTTTAGGACTCGGTTTCAGTTGGACTATTCCAGGTAGTTTATAGTTGATGATTGTATCGGAAGTGAATAATAAACAAAAGTGAGTTATGATATGTCAGAAGATACTGAACAGGACTTTCAGTTTTCTATACAGTATCCTTGAAGGACACAACAACTTGAGAACGCTAAGCGAAAATTATGTTTTCATAGTAAAAAAATGTCACGAAACCCATTATTCTCGTAACATATGACACTGATGATGCGAACGGATGTTCTAGTTTTACAACTAGCTACCAGTAGCACCTTCTACATTCGGTCGTTCCCAGTCAGATAGAAATCAGACGAGAAGAGGCAGGAAAGATATATTTGATGCGTTACCAATATATCAAGGAACCTTCACTATAAGCTGGCTAATGAAACGTAGGAGCTGTGTCTCACGCCGTGTTGAAACGAGATCTGGTACGGATGCATGACCGAAAGCCTTCAGCTAAACAAGTCCACTTAAACACGTGGTCAGCACCAATGTCGAACACTTAATGAACTATTGATTTTGGGGAATTATTTACAGCTACAGATCACTCCCCCCTAGTGAGGTAGTGATGCCCCTAAGACGTGACCAGCCAGAAGTTTACACCCAACGAGTTTGTCGTTGGTAAACACTCTTTTGATAGCTTGCTTCGTTTAGCAGCATCTGGTCGTCTTTCCTTAAACTATGGGACCAAAATGTACAACATAGCAATAAAGAAATATAGTACAATGAAAATTTCGGTACCTTGCGAAACTTCGTCGTTCTTTTCCAGCCGTCCTGGAAAAGAGGAAAATAAAACGTGTGAGTGCATGTCGGAAATACACTCGTACTTGCGTAGGGACACAAGATGAGCGGAAAAAAATAAACTGATACACTTACAAACAGCGTAAAAGCGATCAGGAAAAAAGTGTTTTTTTGTTTTTTTTTATATATAAAAAATATATAAATATACGCTCAAAAAAAAGATAAAAATGTTTTGTTTTTTTGTTTTTTTATATAAATAAAAAAATGAGCATATCAAAAAAAATTTTTAGAATAAACTATGAAAAGTTAATTCAAGATAAATCTAATGTCCTACGTGCAATATTCGTTAAGATGTTCTGGAAATCTTACTCGTCTTCCAGAACGCGTTGTTTTAGGTTTATCTATCGATGTTGACGAAGTATCAAGTTGTGTGTCGGTTGTCGTGTAGGGTACTACGAGTGTAGTGGCTGTGTCGTTTGCTTGAACCGAAGGAAAATCGACGTAGCTAGGGTTTCCTTCTAAGTACGCTGCTTTGAGTCGATCGATAGTGATGGTATCGTTCGTACCGTTCTTATCTACTACATAGTACTTAGGTTCGCGTTGAAGAACTTTGAAGGGTCCTTCGTATGCTGATTCGAGGGGTCGTCGATGTGAGTCTCGACGAACGAAGACGTGTGTACTATGTCGTAATTCGGGTTGAACGAAAACATCAGTTGATTGAGGTCGAGTGTGAGCAGGTTTAACTGAACGCATAGCGTTTGTAAGCCTACTCGTGTAAGAGTTTAGATCCATGTTCAATGAAGAAGCTGAAGGATCTACGAATTCTCCTGGGAGTCGGAGTGTCGTCCCGTAAACGAGTTGAGATTCCGTGTATCCAATGTCAGCTTTCACTGCATTGCGGATACCTAGCAAGACGAGTGGAAGAGCGTCTGTCCACTGTGAAACGTTTGAAGCTGATAATGAAGTTTTTAATTGTCGATGCAAACGTTCTACCAACCCGTTTGCTTGTGGGTTGTTCGGAAGCGCGTGATTCCTAAAAGTGAGGTCAGACAACGCAAAAGTCCAGATTCGAACTGGCGTCCGCGGTCTGTAGTGATTGTGGAAGGGCAGCCGAAATTTGCTACCCATCGTTCGACGAAAGCGCGAACCACGGTTTCAGCAGTAATGTCCTTAATC